AAAAAAAATGTAAAAACTGTGATTTAAAAAAAAATTGAAATCAACAACACCATCTTTTCTTCTTGTACTTGCTTCCAAACAATAAGTTGTTTCAATCCTGAAATATTAGAATGAAAAGAATTTAAAAATCTCTTTGTACAAACTTCTTATCTTTAGATGAAGAAACCAAGGTCCAGAGAAGTAAGTGACCTGCTCAAGGTCCCACAGCTAATAGGTACAGATCCCAAACTAGAGTTTAGCCTTCTTGATCCCAACCTGGATGATATTTGCCATGCTGTGAAGCTCCACGGCTGTTAAATCAACACGTGCTTACAATTGATTCCGCTCTCACAGGTAAAGAAACAGAACTTCAAAGAGGCAGATGTCATTTTCCCAAGGTCATCTCACCTTCACAGCTTCTCCAAGAACAGTGTTTCCCACGTTGAGTTTTGCCTCTTACTTTAAGATAACTTAAAATTCACAAGCCTTCCTTGCCAAAACAAACAGAGGTCTGATTATTCTCATTAGAAAGCACTTTGGTGCATGTGCTGTCTTGGGAAATCGGAGTCAAGTTTTAAAACTTCCTCTGCATCCAGCTTGTCAGGACCAAAGCAACTGCACAAAATCAGGCACTGCCAGAGCCACGGCTTCCAGTCCTGTCACATCAAGGGTCACAGGGTGCTTTTAGCAGTGCCAAGCCAGAAAATAAACAAATCAATCAAAGATAACACATGAAGACTGTAAATAAACAGGGGGGAAAAAAAAACCTCCAAGCATTTTATAACACTGTAAAATGCTTTATAAAACTTTATTAACCCAAGTTAATAAAGTTTTAAGTTAAAATATTAGGGTTTGGGTTGGGGATCTAGCTCAGTTGGTAGAGTGCTTGCCTCACATGCACAAGGTCCTGGGTTCAACCCCCAGCACCACCAAAAACAAAAACAAAAACAAAAAAAAACAGTCAGGGTAAGCATGCCCTGTAGTTTAATTGTGTTGCCTTTCAAAGCAGCAGAACATGGTGGTCATTTGTGTCATTAGCTCTGGGCCTTTCCATGCAAGCACACTCTGCAGCCTTGTCCAGTGCCTCTTTAAAGCGTCTTATGATACTTTTGTTCCCTCCCTAAAGGGGAGGCTAAGTTCTTTGCTGCTAAGAGGATTGCTGAGACCAAGCCTTTTGTAGAACTCAGAAGAGTGAACAACAGGATAGAACAAGCGAGAGTCATCAGGGAGGGCTGCTCTCCAGCAACGCTCCCTAACAGGAAAGGTCAGAGGAGGTTCCAGCACTAACAGAGCCGAGGGACAGAAGGGCGTGCTGGGCCCAATTTCACAGCAAGCAGAGGGGGTGGCTTAGTCTATCCATCAAGAGTTAAATATAAGCCCAAGAACTTGGTGTGAATCAGGGCCAGAGCCCAGTAAAGAACCTTATCTCTAATCAGCCCTGCCTCAAAATAGCTCTGTCTTCCCGGGGGCAGACTCGTCATCCCTGCGCAGTGCCACCCGAGGTACTGAGCTCATCAGAAAGTCAATGAGGCTGCTTTATTCATCTCTGGCACAAAGTTTCTCTCTCTGGGTGGAGCAGTGCATAACTTAGCAACCCTCAGAATGGCTTGCGTAGAATCAGATGTTCAGCCAGGAGGGCCTTACAATTTACCTGGACCGACCCTTCATTTTACAGATGGATGAAGCGAGACCCAGGAGAGGAACAGTTTGCAGAAGAGCACCAGGAGCCGGCTGCTGGACATGGCTCGAACCCTGCACCGGAGCAGTTGTTCTCCTCTTGGCAAAGCTGCTGAACTCATCTGAGAAACGAATGAAACACTCAGGGCCCTGTCAATTTTCCCTCCGTTGTTAAGGAAACAATTTCCAAAGCTCCAAGAGTTTCCGATCCAACCCTTCCACAGGCAGCTCCTGTTAAGCCCTCGTTTCTGTAAGTGTCCCAGGCTTCCTCTCCAATCTCCACAGTGCAGACAGCCAGCCTTCCTTCTGAGGGTCAATGTATGGGTGCCCCTGTGGTTACGTCCCCTGCAGCTGGACAAGAATGCTCCAAGTGGGTAATTGATGCACTTGGGAGTTTCTCTGAGGATGGGGTCACACAGCGATGCCCACTAGTCTCCTGGGCTGCTCCCTGCTGCCAAGGGCCCCAACCCAGCTCCGGACTTGCCTCCCAAGGAGAGTCTGTGAGACGCTCAGCTGGAACATTCCTGCCAACACACATCCTACACCCCGTTTGCATACTGTGCCCCCTTTGTGATCCTCCACACAGTATGGCCTCTGTCCAGAGATGTCCAAGACACACAAGGTCTCAACAGGGGTGGAGGAATGCCGAGGGCTTACAAAAAGGCTGCTGAGAACTGGGCAGGGTAATAGGGACTTAGAGTGTGGCCTGTCCAAGGGCTGGAACATGCTGGCAGGAAAATGCCTGGCTCTGTGTAGCTTAAAACAGTTTTGTTTCAGGTCATTATTATCCAGGACTTTTTGTCAGAGACAGAAGAGAAATAAAAAGCTAAGACAGGATATTGAATTTCCGCTCTCTTCCATTTCCATTGTGATTGTCACCTTTTAAATGTTCCCGTTTTTTTCTTTTGTGAGTCACTTGGCTGGTACTTTTCATAGCTCCTTGGTAGAAATTGGTCCCTGGCTATTCCTCCTGTGTAGGATTTATCTCTTCCAGTGAGGGTGGAACAAACAGCAGGTGCTTAATAAATATTTAATAACTATGTCCTGCCAGGTCAGTGTCACAATTCCAAACTCATTTTGTGCCAACGTCAGTTCATGCCGTACAGGCCTGAAGGTATTCATGAGAATACAGAAAAGGGGTAAAATGGCCACCCAAGTTCACACCCAGTGAGTGACAGCCAGGCCTCAGGCCAGGCCTCCCATGACTTGGTCCAGCTTCCACCAATTCTGCCACCGGATGAGACAGAAAATACCATGCTAAAGAGCTTTAGATTAAAGTCAGAGAAAACCAAAGCAATATTGGTTCATTTGGGGATCTTAGAATTTTTAACGTGCATTTGGTAGAGCTTAATAATGTGACTTACACAAACATTTTCCCACCTTTATGTAATTGTAAAAGTCTTTTTTTTTTCCTTAGTAGTGCAATTGAAATCAATTGGTTTTTCAGAACAAAAATAGGTTCTCTTTTAGCTGAAGAACTGAAAGTAGGAGGCACATTAATTCCCCGCAAATGAAATAAATTTGTATGAGGAAGGCCCGATGATCCTAATAGCAACTTGATGTGAAGTTTGAGCTTTCTCATAGCATGCATTTTTGCATTCCAAGATTATGCTACCTGAGGACAGAGTCTGGATTTTTAAAATTCTCTAAGTAATTAAATGTGTATCCAGGGTAAAGAGCTGCTGTGCTAGTTGGGCTGATCCCAGTCCCTTCTGCTGAAAGATGAAGGGTTTAGACAGATGGGCATCTCTCTTTCCCATTCTGTAGTTACTAGAGCTTTGGAGACCCCAGGGTCCTGCTTGAGAAGCCCCAAATGTACCTGGAATAGGCAGTTGTCACTCACAGGAACAATCTCCCAGCCTTCTAAGCCTAGGCTCTGAGGGTCAGATGAGAGTATGCAATTATGTCACAGGCCACATAGTGTAATAGTTCATGTAAGTTAATAACTATTATATCTTCTACTAATTATGTCTTTAAAAGAAATAACCAGGACAAGGCCCTAAGTTCTAGGAAGACTCCCACCACCTTTCTGCTTTGTTTTCCAGGTATCCACCACAGCTATTTGGTGAAATCCCCAACAATCCCAAGTGGTTTAGTAGCTATCATCACAGCAAGAAATGTTTTGAAAATGTTTATAATCTCAAAGGGTTTGACCCAAAATTCATCACCTAGAATATCCTAAGGAGCAAAAGCTGGAAAAGCTTTAGGAAGGAAGAAGTCCACTGTGGTATTATTTACCATAGTGGAAAACTGGAAATAACTTAAACGTCTAACGTAACATAGACTACTAAGTGGAAAAATGGCCCCTGTAAGGATCTAGGTCAGGGGGCGGTCAATACACAAGCCCAAGACCCAGTCAAGTCCTCTTCCACCTACAAAGACTCAGGAAGAAGTGGAGCACAAATGGACCCAGTTGGAGGACCAGAGGGCCCTTCCAGAGCACTTCAGATGCTGCTCCCAGGTGGGTTCAAGGCCCCAGGGCAGCAGGCTGTGGGCCTTGGGAAGCTGATGCCTTTCAGCAGGCGGGGGAATTGGGGTTGGTCTGGAGGCCCGGCTTCTAAACAGGTTTTTTTTAAACTTCAGGAAACAAAGCAAACTCTCCCAGCTGTTTTGTTTTCAAAGTAGAGCTTAATCCACCATTGGGGGTTTTGTTTTCCCACATTTCAAAATCGATTTGGAATGGGCACAAAGACTTTTCACCTCCATATCTAAATAGAAGTCGTTTTAACTGCTCCCAGGAAAACATTCATGTTTTCCTTGTTAAGCTGCATACAACCATCCATTAGGAAATCCACACTAAAGCTATTTTTTTTTTCCCTTTGCCGTCCTGGGGACTGAACTCAAGGCCTCACGTATGCCAGGCAAGCACCCTACCACATGTTCCCAACCGTGATTTGTGAGCAATGTATTTGCTTGTAAATAACTCAACATCAGATTTAAGCAAGTGAACAAGCCAAGGTTATCAAAATGAGGGCAGAAGAACAGCAGCAGAGAGGGAGAAAGCAGAAGGGGCAGGTGTGTGAGAAGGAGGAGGAGGCAGAGGGCCAGGGCCCAGCTGGACCTTGTGTGGGTGGGAAGCTCCTGCAAAGTATGAACAGCTCACGTGGACAGTCGGGAATGGCGGATTCCAGGCTGTCGTGCATGTTAGGAGGGGCTTTTCTTGTGGCCTCAGAATTGCACCCACTAGTCAAAGCTAAGAAAGAAAATATTCTTTTTTTTTTTTTAAATGCCTTTATTTTATTTGTTTTATGTGATGCTGAGGATCAGACTCAGTGCCTCACACATGCTAGTCAAGTGCCCTACCACTGAGCTACAGCCCCAGCCCAGAAAGAAAATATTCTGTCCAGGAGCTTGGCCATCCACACAGAACTTGCTAAGCAGTGACCATGAAACCCAGCCCAATGTTCCCAAGCCCCTCACCCACCATGGGGCATGTATTGGACCGGAGGAAGTTGGTGGGATCTAGAGTGGGGGCATTCTTTCAAGAGAGTCATTGTGCAGGGGACACCAACCGTTCCTCTCAACCCAAGTGAAAGGAACCACTCAGAGAACCCGCACCTTGCCTTCCCAGGTTCTGTGCAGAGGCTGGAGGCTTGCCCCATGCCATCACAGGGCTGAGCCAGAGCACAGGAAGAGGACCTGTGTCTCTGGAGTTGGGGGAAAACTAAGACTGGAGCCTGTGATGGATTCACCCACATGGGCACACGACACTGTGGGCATGGTGAGCCACACAGGTGAGCACCACAAAGATTCCTGCATGCCCGTTGCTGGCCACACTCCCCAGTCTGGCCCACACTCCAGAGGCAGCTACTGTGTAAACAGAGGTCACCTCCGAACACCACTAATTAGCGTGATGAAAACCTGAAGTGGGGTGTACTATATGAAATAGGTAGTATTCAGTTACGTGGATTGGCCAAAATCTTCAAGAGACTCTCCTCACGTGAGCAGGGCATGGGGTTAGGGAGCCAGAGCCTGTCCCTTCAAAGGCACGTGGGACTGGGTCCTACAGGGGCCTGCAGCCAGCACTTGGTTTGAAGGAATCATTTGATGCTGACACTCCAGTCACTGAAACTGGCCTCTTTGGTACCATCATAAATGAACCTTCCCTACAAAGGCAAAGGGCTGGCCTGACCACCCAGCAGCAGAGCTGCCAAGGAAGAGCAGCCCTCGCCTCTGGTGGCTGAAATGACCCACCACACAGCCCCAGGGTCCAGTTGGTCTCGACTGGTTCCAGACACTGAGCTCAACTGGGAAAACCAAGGGGAACACTTCAGGAAAGATGACTGAAGAGCAGGAGCTCAGGGAGGGCAGAGACCAAGGCCACCAGGTGGACGCCATGGGTCATGGTAAAGGACACCGTGCCCAGGAAGCCGGGCTGCTGAAGTGAGGTACCTCTGAGGGAGGTGGGTTCTTATGGGGCAAACTGTTGGTGTGGGAATGGAGGGTCAGTTGCTGGGGGCAAGCAGGATTGGGCCGGAAGTTTTTTGCTGGAAAACTGTGTGGGTGGGTTCTTCCAGGCTCCTCCTCAGGAACTGTCCCTGGACAACTGCCATCTAACCCTGCCTTCTCCTGCCTCCTTTCCCTGGCCAACTGGAGAGGCTGAGGCAGCAGGGTGAGGGCGGGAGTGGAACAAGGAGTGGGGAGCCAGTGGAGAGCGAGCCACCTTCTCCCAGCTCCCCACCTGCTGCTGAGGCCCAGCGGGAGGTAGGAGAAAGCTCTCTGTTGGGTGAGAGTCTAAAGATGTGATGTGGCACTGCAGAGTCTCCACCTAAAATGGAGATAGTTATTAATACCTACATGTGATGTGCCTGGCGTTTCACCCAGGAAAATGGAAAAATAATTCATCAGAGTGGGCTCACAGGGTAACAATGAGAGGAAATCAGTTTACTCATGTTGTGTCCAGCTGAATCCACTTGTCAGTCATCTACCATTTCTACTCCTGAATGAAAGTGACTTGGCATTTGTACTGTAAAAATTTCCAAACTCTTCCTTATACCTTATTAAGTAGAATAATAATTTGACTTATTATTGGGTGGTGACTTTGTTTTCAAGAGTATTCTTTAAAACCACAAACTAACCAGGTGTGTTGCGGGGACACAGGCCCGTAATCCCACCTACTCAGGAGGCTGAGGTAGGATGAAAGTTCTAGACCAGCCCAGACAATTTAGTGGGACTCTGTCCCAAAATAAAATAAAAAGGACTGGGGATGTAGCTCTGGGGTGGAGCACCGCTGGGTTCAATCCCCCCATACCAAAACAAGAACAAAACCTCACCAACTGAAGAGTGGTGGGTGCAGCCATGTGGGCTCACTTAGGCATCTCCTGTTGCTGCTGTAATAAGATAGTGGCTTAAACCGACCCTAACTCCATAGCATCCCTGTGGGCCAGAACCCAAGCTGGGTTTTCCTAAGCTAACATTGGGTGGCTCACCTCTCAACAGCACCCTCACCCTTGCCTGCTGGCCAGCCAGGAATAATGGAGGCAGGGAGGAAAGAGGTCCTGTGTGATCTTGAGGAGAAATCATACAACTAACTGGCTCTCAAAAGTCCCTGCCAGGTCTAAACTCTACTCTTCTCTATTTTGGAAAAATAAATATTCAAAGAAATCTGACCAGTGAAACCAAGAGACCTGGCTGCTCTTGTCCAGGTCCACCCCTAGCTGAGGAAGCTCTGACATCCCCAGGTGGAAGCCTCCGAAAGGCAGAGGAGTGGCCCCTCCCAGGGCAGACAACTGGGCTGTCTGTCTCTCTGCTGAGTCAGCACCCAGGCTGGACACAGATGGCTGCTGACTCACAGCTGCCCAGGGGCCCAGGTTAGCCCCTGCGGGTGATTCAGGCCAGGCTGTCCCAGGCCTGCTGGTCTCAAGTCCTTGTCTCTGATGTCCTTGGAGCCCCCAGACCCTTAGAAGCTTCAAGAGGGTCTCAGAACATTGGAGAAAAAAGACTCTCGGGCACCATGTCTAGGTATGCTGCCCACCTGCTGCCCCTCACCTGACCTCTCCGGCTGACTCTGTTTACGCTATGATATGTCTCTCTGATGGGGTAGCACAGCTCCATCCCTGGCCTGGCCTTAAAGTTAAGGTTCACTTTGTGTCTTCAACACCCCCTCCCCTTGGAAGACACCCAGGTCCATCCGGCTTCCTCTAGTGGCGTCACTTGCTGGGATGGAGCCCAGGGCCTGGCACATGCAAGGCAAGTGCTACCACTGTGCCACACCCCAGCCCTTCTCTTCCATGTTGAGGTAATATCTTCTGCTACCAGGAGCTCTGGGCCACAGATGAGGAAGCCAGGATTTCCTGTTTCTGCCCTCCCAGCAGCTGTGTGACATTCAGCAAGTCATACCTTCTCTGGGCCTCATGGGGATCAGACTCTGTTTCTTCCAAGGTCCCTTCCAGAACCAGAATGAGGGCACTAGAGCAGATGGTCCTAGGTGTTCTGCTCCCAGGGTGGCCATGCTCTCTGCCCCCTGCCTGCCACAGCTCCCTCCTGGGGATCTCAGGAGGCCCTCCCCCACCATTCTGCCAAGGCTCCTTCCCTTCTCCTGATGTGTGTGTGGGGCTCTCAGCCCTTCCCCTCCCAACCTGGGCTGTCACTTCTATTCACCGCCCTGTGGGGTGGAGTGAGACCGTGTAACCAGAAACTGTAGTGGGTCAGGACTCATGTGGGACCTGGTCTGTCACCCTCCCTAGCTGGATCTGCCAGACCAGCGCTGGGTCAATCAGGAGGTGGGAGAGATTCCGCCTACTCAGATTCCGGAGGACTGCTGCGGGGTGATTGTCGCCTCTGACCCAAAGCTTATCAGCAGCACCAGGGTCCCACCCTCCCCTCCCCTCTCCTGGCGGCTGGGGCCCCGGAGCAGCTCCACCCCAGGTGGCCTCTTTCCACATCTATTTCAGTCATTTCCCTGAAAAAAAAAAAAAAATGAACAGTCTTTGATTCTCATCCAGAAGGAAATTCTGCTTTTCGGTTTTTCCCGTGGGTTCTCGCACCCCTCTGCCTTTTCAAAGGAAACCGAGCGCAGCTACCAGCCGGCCTTCCCTCGGCCCAGGCGGACTTGGGCTGGCCTTCCCGGGAGACCTGCTGGGGACGTGCCAGGCTGCTCCCCGGCCTGTCCACTCTGCCAGGCAGGGCTGGGGTTCCCGATGGCATCATTGCACGCCGTGTTTCGGCTCGTGTCTGGCCTCCCTTCTTGGACACGTACCTCCTTGCCCAGCACCCAGAGCCCTCTCGCACGGGGTGCCATCTGGGTGCCTCTGTGAGGTCGCCCAGTTCCCGAGAGAGGGTGGCCAGCGCCCCTCGCACCTACAGGCCCCGCTGGGGTGGGAGGGGAACAAAGGCGCGCTGGGCCTGGGGGGGAGGCTGGGGGTCTCCTTCGCCCGGACCTGGCCGAGCGGCCGCGGGGCTGCTGCTCCCCGTCCAGCTCCGGGTGGGCACGGGGTGGGCTGCACCGGGCCCCGTAGGGAACAGCAGGCCTGGCGCTGGGCCCTGGTCAGGCTGCCAGCAGAGTGGCGGGAGGGGCCGGGAGCCTGCTGGGCTCCGCCTCTGCCAGGCTGTGACCCTGCGTGACATGGACCTGAGCCTCCCTCCCAGGCCCCTCGAGTGGCGCGATAACCCCTGCCCCGTCGGCCGGGCTCCTGGGCCAGAGGTCGGACGCCCTCGGAGGAAACCCCGAGAAGGGCCGGGCCTTTGTGAGTCCGCGGAGCTGCGACGCCCCTGCCCCCAGCCGCCCTCCGCCCAGCTCGGGCCGCGTCCGTGGCCTCGTGCTGCCCCCTCGTGGCCAGACGGCTCCTCGTGATTCCCTGGTTAAATCTCTATTTAAATTCTCAATCATAGGAGAATTTAAATCCATAATAAAGTAATTAATTATAATGAAGGTAAAGTAATGAACCCTGTCTGGGTTCTACTCATTTTTAGGCCAATGCAGGCATAAAATGTAATGTTCCGTTTTTCTCCAGGGGGCAAGTGGCCCTCAGGGCAGAGCACACCAAGTGGAACTGACCCTCAGGGGCGCTGGCGCTTCCCTTCCCTGCCTGCTGCCCCGCCGGCTCTCCAAAGCCTCCGGGAGCCCCCTGCGCCTGAGTTTCCCCGGAGTTCCGCCAAGATCGTGGGGCACAGTGGAGATCCGGAGAGAAACCAAGGCTCAGGACAGCTCCTCCTAGCACCTTGGAACATCATGAGTCCCTCCAGATGACAAAGCACGTTGGACGCAGGGGCTGGGCTGGAGGGAGATCAGAGCCCCTGCATGTCCCCGAGCTCACCCTGACTACTCCCCCCCCACCCCCGGCCCCCGGGTGTGGCTGGGCTGCTGTGCGTTGGAGGAGCCACGTGCCAGCCGGAGGAGCACCTCTGACCTCCTCCCGCCTCTCCACACCCAGCCCTCTGCCTAGTTTTTCCTGAAAGCATGTCAGAGGTGGAACTGAAACCCTAATCTGCCTGGATGTATTTGCCAGGGAAATGAGGCCACAGGGTCTGACCAGTCACGACTTGGCCTCTGTGTGCAAGGGAAAAAGGAGACAGGAAACTGGGACATCAGGCAACCCTGGGTACAGTCACACCTATGCTCAGCGACCTTATCTGATCACACAGTTTGCAAATCCAATCAGGGCAAAGATCACATGCACTTAGCTAACATGCCACAAGGGACTTCCTATGGCCCCAAAGCAGAAAAATGTCCACAAGTGTCAAGCAAACTATCATTTGAAGAGTTACATTTTCTGGTGTTTATATCATGTCCTGAATGGATACTTTCTTAATTAGCTTTGTGACCTTGGGCAGGTCTCTTAACCTCTCTGAACCTCAATTTCCTAACATGTGAAACAGGACAAATAATCACAACTTCACAAGAGTCTCCTGATGGTCATGAGATGATGTGCACAAAAAGACCAGGGCCCGGGCTGGGGCTGGGGCTCACAAGTAGAGCGCTCAACTAGTACGTGTGAGGCCCTGGGCTCGATCCTCAGCACCACATAAATAAATAAATAAAATAAAGGCATCAGGCATCGTATCCATCTACAACTAAAAAAAAAGACCAGGGCCCGTCACCCAAGAGATGTTTTTGAAGTGAGAATTTTCCATGACAGTATGAGACCGAGGTATGATCTCATTTAGTGACCCCAGAGACGGAAGCTATGCAGAAGGACCACCTAGACAGGTCCTCAGGCCTCACACTGGCCAAGAAGTGGACCTGCGTGTCATTTCTTAGTGACACAGTATTAGAGTCCTTCTCGGGAACCCTGTCCTAGAACAGCCCACATGGCTTGCCCCACTGTGCCTGTCCTAGCCTCTGTGCCCGTCCTCCTGCCTCCTGCCTGGCCTGGCCTCTGTAGTAGTCCTCCTGCCTCCCTCCTGGCCCCCTCAAGCTCTCAAGTGGTCCTCTCACTGGCTGCCACAGAGCCACACAATTTGACACTCCATTGACAGAGTTCCTCTGCACCAGGGGTCTCCAGAACGCATGATCCTGCCTGCTTAGGACACAGGGCCCAGGGTGACCATGCTGTCCAAGGCCAGGAGTGGGAAGGGAGCGGCGGGAAACCAGGGATCATTGGCCATTAGGGGATTGAGGATAGGAAGGCTTCCAGGGACCTGCTGGGGAGGGAGGAAGAGGACAGTGCTTCCCAGGTCAAAGGGCATGACCTTGCAGCCCAGCTCACCGTGTTGGGAGGCTGACTGCCGACTGTCCCTTGGGTGGGGAAGGGACAGCTTGTACAATTGCCTGGCAGTGTCCCTCCCCCTGTCGACTGGCCTGTTCTGCAGGCTGAGAGGGAAAGGCCTGGGGGGCTGGCGTCCAATCCTGGGTGCTGTTCCCACCTCCTCAGCACATGGAGGAGGGGAAAGCCCTCCAAACTTGAGGTCACTGCTGGGGGCTGTCACCCTCCCTTCAGGGTACACAATTCAGTCCGAAGAAGACTCAAGTCATTCTCCAAATTCTCTCCCACACACCAGTCTAAAACTCTTAAGGCTTTGGTGGTGAGCAAAGCGACCCTCTGTGGTGCTAGCCCAGAGTTCCCCCAACGCCTGGGAGCCCAGAAGCCAGCGCTAGGCC